GCCTGTAGAGCCACGAATCAAATACAAGTTTCTCAATTCCAGACCCACAGTTCTTTTCACACTGAAGTGTTTTTTTTTCTATATGAAAGGAAGTGGCTTTTGTATGTTTAAAAATGTTATACGAGTATAAGGAATACATATACACATGTGAATTATATGTGCAAGAGGGAAGATCTGAATAGAACCCCCATCCCAGCACTAGTGGACACGAGGGAGGGACAGCATCGGAGGGGAACCAGCCATTTCACTCTTCGATGCTTGACCTTCTCAGAATGAGCACATACCATCTCATTCTCTCCTTGAATGTCTGAATGTCTTCACTAACTGAACTGAGAAATGCTGAGAGGAAGAGGGAATGGTCTTTGTGTGGGAACACAACAGCAAGCAGAAGATTTACAATGGGAAGTTTGTTTAAAGGTAGAAAAGCCCCAGGTTTACTTAACTGCTTTTGGTTCCAAGAATTGGGACTTACCATATTTGGTCACAAACTGGCCATTGCTTTTAGGATCAAGAATAATAAAAGTGCTGGTTGCTGTAAAACTCTCTCCAATATCCTGAAGATATTACTACTTAGCACTTGGGAAATCTAATGGCTTAAACTGCATGGCCCAATGCATCTATCCAATTAGAAAATTTAGAAATTAGAGGTTGGATCCAGGTTTAATGGATGTAGTGCTCTTTGGAAGCATCCTTTCAGGGCAACTAGCTCAGCACCTGAGGAAGATGGAGTAGCCGTGGATAACCTCTCGGACTCCTGACATGTACTAACAACAAGGAATCTCAAATGTTTCATACTAAGTGCAAGAAGCCAGACTCAGAAGGCTACATACTGTATGACTTCGTTTACGCGACATGCTGCAAGTGGCAGAACTGTAAGGACAGGAAACAGATCGGTAGTTTCCAGGAACTAAAGATGGGAAAAGAGAACGGATGACAAAGGAGCTCCAAGGAACTGCTTAGGGTGGTGGAAATATTCTGCATCTTGATTATGGTGATGGTTATTTGAATGCATGCATTTGTCAAAATTCATAGAACTATCCACCTAAAAAGAATTACTTCTACTGTATGTAAATTATGCCTCAATAAACTTAACTTTTTTTAAAAAAGAGAATGCTCCTGGACATAACTGTGTGCATGGAGAGAAAGGCAGATTCTATCAACTGTTTTGCTGGAGAGTTTCATATTTAAATAAATACTAGCATTTTACACAGGGAGAATAGGCAGTGTGATTTCCCTGCTCCCACCTGCATTTCCACATGTGACCTGAGCTCCATCAGGCCCAGTGATCTTCCTGCAGGAGGGGTCAGGGTTCAGGAGATGGGAGAAGGGGAGATGGGGTGAAGGAGACGACAGGCAGCAGAGGGGGTTGGGTCAACTCAAGTGGTTTATCCCTGAAGCTGCCCAGTCATTTCCCCAGTTAATTATCTGTCTGCTGATTCATGAGTTGCGGCTCCTGTGGGCATGCTTCCTCACTGTTCCTGCCAGCAAGGGCAGCAGGATTCTTAGAGCTGGGAGGGGATGATAACCAGAGATCCCGAGTGGGGTGGGGAGTTTCAGAGGAAGAATTTCTATTAGGAAATTCCAGAGTCATATCCAGACTCCCCCTCCTTGCTGTTGCCTCCTGGCCCCATCATATGCTGTCCCCAGGAGACCTCTGCCACCTGCACTCACAATTTTGAGGGAGATAAAGGAGAACTCTGCTCTCCTGTTTGTCTCCTCCAGGAAGGGGGGGATGCAGACACTTCAGAGAGGTCCCCTGACTTTCCAGCACCCTCAGATCAGAGGTCTAAATGGTGCAACAGTGCAAAGGTCCAAATTCTGGAAGAATTCATGGTCTTGGCTGCGTTCTACTATCCTCCAGAATGCCCAGATGGGGCACTTGAGGACCTTCTGTGAATGAAGGCAGATATTCCACTACTGAGTTTCTTAAAGTGAAGCACACCACCTCTAGATGCTTTTTCCTAGCACTCCATAGGTATTTATGTTGCTGCCTACGTGCCAGGCACTGGGCACAGAATGCTGACCAAATAGCCATGTCCTTCTCACAGAATCTGAAATCTTGTGGATATCTTTTACTTTCCCCTTTAGCCAGAGACAGGATTTAAAGTTTTTTCATGGACAAAGCAAATGTATAAGCCTCTCTCCTCCCTGGCCTGTTCTGTGGGGTTTTGATGGGTCACAGTGGCTGAGACATGCCAAGCCACTGAGAGGGAATGGTTGAAATCAGAAGCAGCTCCCTGTTACACAGGTGTGGGAAAAGGGACCCCCTCTGTCTCATCCTGGGAGCCTGGATTGCACACATTCATGAAGCAGCGACAGCTCTCGCCTCCCATGCATAGCAGATACCACAGATAGCAAGAATAATGACAACAGTAGTTGCCATTTATTGAATAGTTATTTTGTGCCTTTATCTCATTTAATTAGCATAATCATAGAAGTATTGTTTTCTTCACTTTACAGAAGAGGAAACTGAGGACTCAAGAGATTAAGTAACTTGCCCAAGGTCCCACGGCCAATGAGTTAAAATGGCTTTGAACCACAGCAGCTGGTTCCCCAGTCAACAAGCTTTCTGCCCGTGTCTCTTCTGGCCGGGAGGGCTGCTGCAGAGGACTCAGGTGTCCAGTTTCTGAACCATAAACTCAGGAGGAGAAATCAGCACCTCAGCTCAGAACTAATCAACTCAGCTGGTGATAGCAAACAAAACTCCTTACCCATTAGGTCCCAGGTGAGAATAAAAACCTACATATGGAGAAGCCACAAAACCCAATACTTCTTGAGTGATGCTAAAAAGACCACCTATGTGAATAAATCCCAAAACTCAATTCTACCCTCAACCAACTTCTCCCCATTCCAGACTCTACCATTCTGGGGCAGTGTCTCCTTGCCATCCAAACCCAGCCCTTTCTTTGTCCCTTCAACACTGTGTGTCCCAACGTAACTCTCCGACTCTCATCCTACCACCTGCCACCTACCACCCAGGGGTCTGATAACACCTGCAACCCAGCCACCCACACTGGCATGGTGGGGGGGGCGGTTTAAATATGAAAGGTCTGCTTGTACTGGAGGCTCCTTACTTGGGAAGTCTGGCTCCAGAGCCCATGATCTTAAACACTACTCCACTCTACCTCTCGGAGGGGCCCTGGGGACTAGCTCAGCACAACCAGTCACCACTGCTGAAATCACATGCATCTGTGGACAGATCTCCTACCAGATATTGAACTCAAACTTAGATGTTGATGCAGCAGAATCCTACATGGATCATGACAAGTGTGTAAGCGAGATCAACAAAAGATACACTAAGGCTGAGGGGTGGAGAGAAAGACACCAAAATAATGTACACTCTTCACCCACACTGATATTGAGCCATGAATCACGCTAGGCTCTATCTGTTCTTACTTCATTATACTTACTTCTAAACTGTATATATATATAAAATCACTATATACATATATATAGTGATTAGACTCAGAAATCATCCAGAAAATCACAAAGCTGTGGATGTGAAAGGAAAAGAAAAAAATGGTTTAAGTTCACAGAGCAGGCTCTTTATAAGACAGCTGAGTTGGCCTTTTGTGTTTCTCCCCTGGCCTGTCTACAGCAGGCAGCGTCTGAAGCAAGGCTCTAACAACGCCCAGGGCAGGAGGCTGGAGACTCCTGTTTCTGTGCCATGCTCGTTAGGTGCTCACTGCAGCCTAGAGAAATCAGTTGACTTATTTGAGCTTCTATCAAATGGGAAGCTTCAGCAATAACAACTCCTCTGTAACTCCTCTGTGAAGATCATGGTTCACAGGATGTGCTGATGATGTCATGGGTATATACTTCTTTTCAAACTCATCAACTTTTATACATTAAATATATAGTTCTTCGTATGTCAATCATATCTCAGAAAAAGGGATCTTTGAAAGAGGTATTGTTGCCTTGTCCTGTATAATCTTTTTTACACACACACACATCTTGAGGCAGTCATCAAAGTATTTCTGAATAGCCGTTTGAAATGGACTTATTGATAAATCTTTAAAAGAACACTTTCTGCAGGGTCTGAATTGTTACACTGAGCACCACTTGTCTGATTACAAGTATGTAAATGGACACTTGTGCTCCTCTGCACGGGAAGACCCCGGAGGACTAGGAGCCAGCGTTCTCCCTGGGAAGCTCACCGGGGCTCCGGGAGAACCACGGGCAGCACCCCCAGGCTGCGCTGCGCTCTGCCCCTCCCCAGCACCAATGAGGCCAAATGCCAGCTGCCTTGGCCGCTGACAGCGTGTGCAGAAGCAGGAGAGACAAAGCCAGGGATCCACGCCAGCTTCAGGGACCCTTGGCGTGGCTCCTCGCACACCCTGGAGATACTTCGAATGTGAGGTCTGTACCGGAGGCAGAGGCATCGCTACCACCGGGAACAGAGTCCTCATTCTTCTCCGAATCGCTCCCGCAGGGAGCCACCAAGTTAAAAAAAGAAAAAAGAGAGAAAGAAAGAAAAGAAAACGGAGAAAGTGTAACAAAGAAAAAAGAGGAATGTCGAGGAACTGGCAAACCCGCGCGCGCTCACTCCCATCTGAGAAACCACAACCACACGCCCCCGCCGAGGCGGGGAGCAGCCCCGGGGAGCCGAAGCTCGCCCCGGCTGCACGGCCGGTCTCCATCCCACGGGCCAGAACACCTGTGATGAGCGCACCTGGGGTGCACGCGGGGCTCCGCGCACCGCACACGTCGAGGCCGCCGGGATGCGCCTAGCCCGGCGGGATGCGCCTAGCCCGGCTAACGGCTCGAGCGTCCCGCAGGACCCCGCCCCTAGGTAGCCCCTCACCCCGCCACTGCGGGGCGGGGAAGGTCCCCAGCTCCAGGCTCCGACGGCCTCAGCCTGGCCCCGCTCCCTCCGCGCGCAGCCGCGCAGGACCCGCCCGCCCGGTTGTCCCGCTCCAAGTCTGAAAACTTGGCTGCGGCAGGATGAGCGGCGCGGATCGCCGGACAGCCGGGTCCCCGCCGCGGGGAGCCGCACTCACCTCCGACGCCGACGCCCGCCAGCGCCCCCAGCACCAGCACCGCGGCCCAGAGCGGCCGCGCTCGCATCCTGTCCTCCCGCCGCCACGCTCCGCCTCGGCCGCGCCCGCCCGCCCCACAGCCAGCAGCAGCGCCCGCGGCCGCTTTTCCCGCAGCCGGAGGGGAGGGGACACCGTGGGTGGGACGCAACGGGGCGGGCCACGGACTTGCGCTTCCTCCCCTAGGGCCCTTTTCTGGACCCTGAGTCGGAGAGGGGGCGGTGGAAAACCGCGCCTTCCCTCCCACCACACCGATCCGCAGGCGAGACGCGGCTGGGACCAGAGCGAGCCCCTGAGCCAAGCACATCCTCCGCAGACATCTGATCCCAGGGGCCCCGCGCGCGCACGCCCTTGGTGTGCTTGGAAACGCCAGGACATGGGGCCCCTCTTCTGATCGAGTCCCACACCCTCAGAGACACCCACGTGGCTTTCTCTTTCACCTGCATTGCTCTTTGCCTGTGGCCTTTGTGTGTCATGCGTTGACATTTTCATACATTAAATTGACAAATAGTTGCTGAACACCTACTGTGTCAGTCACTGGTTTAGTCCTTTACTAGCCACTAATTTTTTCTTCGGTTAGTTCAGTTTCCAGGTAGACGATAGGTCTCTTGAGGACAAAATCTCATCTCGAGCTTGTATAAGTGATGATGTCCATAAAGGCCTCTCCCTGCAAATTCTTGCTCACACAAGTATCTGAGGAACATTTTAGGACACAGCTCAGTAGTCCCCCCACCCTCACCCCTTTCACACGGAGGGATACGTTCCAAGTCCCCAGGTGGGTGCTCATAAACGTAGATATCGCCAAACTCTGTATATACTGTTTGTTTTTGTTTTTGTTTTTGTTTTTAATATATACATAAGTTTTCACTTACAGGAAGCACTTTATGACTTCTCCTTGATATATCAAAATTGCCAGCACCACACTCTTGCACTTTGGGACTATTAATAAGTAAAATCAGGGTTACTTGAAAACAAGCGCTGTGATAATGTCACCATCTTCCTGATAACCAAGAGTGGGCAATAGCGCAACACAGCCTGGACAAAGGGATGGCTCACGTTCCTGTTGGGACGGAGGCCTGGAGGTCCGCTCAAAACTGTACCCAATTTCGAACTCACAAATTCTGTATTTTTGGAATTTTCCATTCAATATTGATATCGCACCACACTTGACGATGGGTAACTGAAACTAGGAAAAGCTAAACCATGGATAAAGGGTGACTACTGTATACTCTCTGCAAACTCAAAGTCCTAGTCTTCTGAGCTTTATCCTATTTTCCTCACCCCCACCCCAGCCCTGCAAATCCTTCCTCTTGGTCTCCAGATCTTCCCCAAATGAGAAACATCAGGAAGCTCAAAGAGGCAAAATGCTAGTAGTCCTGTGAGGCAGAACGCCACCAGGGAGTGGCTGGGGCTGCTGCAGGCTGTGGAATGAGTAACTCTGAAACAAAGCTTAAGGCCTCAGTGAGGATCTGGAAGTCTCTCCAGCTCCTGGGCCCCCATAGAATGTTCAGGCTGCCCTGGCTGGTGTGGCTCAGTGGATTGAGTGCTGCCCTGTGAACCAAAGGGTCGCCAGTTTGATTTGCAGTCAGGGCACATGCCTGGGTTGCAGGCAAGGTCCCTAATTGGGGGGGGGGGGTGCGAGAGGCAACCACATATTGATGTTTAAAAAAAAAAAGAATGTTCAGGTTGCCCCTGAGCTTCCCTAAGCCTGCTCCTGAGACACACAAGATGCCTGAAGACTGGCCCTGACTCAGCTCTGCCTCATCTCCCACCCTAGGCCAGGAAGATAGCTTTCCCAAACATTTCATGCCTTTCTATCTGACAAATCTAACTTCTTTTTTCCACTTGGAACATTCCACTTATCTTTCAAAACCTCTCAGATGTCCTGTCTTTCACGTAATCTCATCTGATGTCCCCTGTCCTCCAGCCCCACACTCCACAGAGGTGGACATTCTTTCCTCAGACTTTTCAAAGCTAGGATACACATCACAGCAACACTCATCAGTGGAAATGTCACTAGCAATTTGCAAGGGGGCAGAGGAAGAGCCAGTCCACAAAGCGTACCTGAGCTTCATAACCTGGGCTTTGAGCCTCTAGGTCCACATACTTCCCATACTTCCCCTAGCTGGTGGAGAGCCTCTAGGCCAGAAGCCATTTAAACAGCACTGCATTGCCCCTGAGCAAAATCCAAATCACATAGCCTGGTTACATATCTGCTGAGGTAATTACTTTTTTGCTTATTACATATATATGTGTGTGTGTATATATGCATATATGAGGTCTTTCTGGAAAAAGTCTAGCCACTGTTAACATAATGAGAACAGTTTGCCAATATTGATGTAACCTGGCAGTCAAGGAAAATGGATTGGAATGTGCAAGTGTGAACAATAACAACTTCACTGTACTAGTCAGTGGGGGTGGTAGGTGCCCATGAGTGAGCATGTGTACTGTGTGGCATCACATTCAAAGTGACTGAGAGAGTAGAGCAACAAATCTGCATCACATTGTACATTAAGCTTGAACATTCATTCCTCCATGGAAATTATTCCGATGATTCAGAAGTCCACAGCTATGGGCAACCGGTGATTGGTAGCTTCATCACAACAGTGCACCCACTCAATGCATCACATCTCCTGCAGAGTTTTTTGGTGAAACATCAAATCACTCAGGTGACTCAGGCCCTCTACAGCCCAGATTTGGCTGCAACTTCTAGCCTTTCCCGAAACTAAAATCACCTTTGAAAGGGAAGAGATTTCAGATCATTGATGAGATTCAGGAAAATATGACAGAGCGGCTGATGGCCATTGCGAGAACTATGTGAGGTCCCAAGGTGTCTACCTTGAAGGGGACTAAGGTGTCATTGTCCTATATACAATGTTTCTTGTGTCTTGTATATTCTTCAATAAGTGTCTCTATTTTTCATGTTACATGGCTAGATACCTTCTGGACAGACCATACACACATGTGCATGCATATGTGCCTATATGCACATATGTATGTGTGTATGTATACATATATGTATGTGTATATGAGGTATGTCCAGAAAGTATTTGTTAACAAGATTATATAGGTTTCCAGTGTAGAAGTCTATGATATAGCATCTGTATATTACATTGTATGCCCACCACCCAAAGTCGAATCTTCTTGCATCATCATATGACTCCCTTTACCCTTCACTCCTTCCCACTCCGCTCCCTTCCCTCTGGTAACCACCATACTATTCTCTGTGTCTATGCATTCTTGTTTGTTTTCTTGTTTATTCAATTGTTGGTTTCAGTTTTATATCCCACATGTGAGTGAAATCATATGGTTCTTAACTTTTTCTGCCTAACTTATTTCACTTAGCATGATATTCTCAAGATCTATCCATGTTGTCATAAATGGCAGTATTTCATCTTTTCTTATGGCTGAGTAGTACAATGGAATACTAGTCACCCTCATTTTTAATATTTCTTATATATAGATTTCTAGATTGACAAGTGTTTTTCTTCCAGTACTTTAAAGAAGTGATTTCACTGTTTTCTGGCCTCTGTTGTTTCCCTTGTTTGTTTATTTCAAAACAACCTTTATTCTGTGTGAAGACTTAATAGAATACATCAGAGTAACTTTAAACAAGGTACAGCACCCTTTGGTCCCCTGCTGGCACACAGGGTTAAGGAGGCGCACTGTACCAGTCCCCCAGCGCTGACCGCCACCGTTCTGCCTCAAGTGATGGGAAGGCAGGCTCCACTTACACTCCTGTCCCCTTTTCTTTCCCTCGGGCTCTCTTTGTCTTTTTAATTTTTAAATTTTGAAATCATTTACACTTACAGAAAGGTTGCAAAATACTAGAGTCACCTTTTCTGCTTTACTCAGTTTTCCCTAATGTTAACATTTTATATTACCATAACATAATTATCAAACACAGAAAATTAACACTGATACAATACTACTAGCTAATCTAGCTTCAGTATTTGAATTTTCCAGTTCCAGGATTCATCCAGTTCAGGATCCCACACTGGGACTCATTAGGTCTCCTGTCAACCAGTGTTCGTTGATGCCAGTTCAGCACGGCTTAGTTCTTTCTTAGAATTTTTTCTTGTCCTGGCTGGGTGGTTTAATTGGTTGAAGCGCCATCCTGTACCAAAATGTTGAGGGTTGGATTCCCGGTCAGGGTACATACCTATGTTGCAGGTTCAGTTCCTGATCGGGCTGCATATGGGAGGCAAAAGATGGATGTTTCTGTCTCATATCAATGTTTCTCTCTCTCTGTCTCTCTAAAATCAATAAGCATATCCCATATCCTCAGATAGGATAAATAAATAAATATCATTTCCTTGTTTTGCATATTAAATAGTCTCTCTTTAAATTTCCTAATCCTTTCTTATGCAATCTCTAATATGTTGTTAAGTCTATCCAGGGAATATTTTGGACATTGTGTTTCTAAATTCTAGAATTTTCCTTTATTCTCTTTTCCAGTTCCAGTTTCTCTGCTGAAATTCCCCGTATCTTCAATCATTATGTTTACATTTTCCTTGAAGTTTGTAAACATGTTCACAGCACTATTAAAAAATTCCAGTCTGCTAATTCTGACTCATGTTTCTTTTTATAAATTATGGGACCCAGTTTCCTGCTTCTTCACATGTAGAGGAATGCAAGATTATAACTAAACAGTGTGGATTATTCATTTTAGAGTTTATGTTGTCTCCTCTCTAAGAGTATTTGAGTTCTGTTCTATTAGGCAATTAAATTCCTGGCACATTATCTTCATCTAGTCAGGCATGGTTTTACTCTTTTTTCAGGACTGCTGTCTTTTTAGATGTTATCCTTAGTCTTAGTGTGTGGTTTTGTATTGTAGAATGTGGTCCTTTTTTTTTAAACATTTTTCATTTTTTTGGATTTTTTAAAGATTTTATTTATTTATTTTTTAGAGAGGGAAGGGAAGGAGAAAGAGAAACATCAATGTGCGGTTGCTGGGGGCCATGGCCTGCAACCCAGGCATGTACCCTGACTAGGAATCGAACCTGCAATGCTTTCGTTCGCAGCCATCGCTCAATCCACTGAGCTACGCCAGCCAGGGGGAATATGATCCTTTCCACAGGAGAAACTTTCTGTATCGTGTAAGTACCCTGAGTTGTTCA